AAGGGCATGGCTGAGGAGGGCATTGCTGCAGAGTGTGGTAGAAAGGGGGCTGAAGAGACTTAGAGACTGGGTAGGAGGAGCTGAGGGGTGTGGGTGAGGAGACCCAGATGTGGGGTAGGGGGAGTAGAAGTGTTGAGAGCAAGGAGACTCTTCCAGGAAGGTCCCAGCAGTGAGCTGGTGGAGGCTGGAGAAGGTCTTGGAGAGCTGGGGTGAGGGAGGGGGGAGTCTGTAAGGAGGTGGGGATGAGGGGAGCGCAGAGAGCTCGTGGTGGCAAGGGGGGAGTCGTTAAACAGAATCTAGTGCTGATGAGGAAATTACACTTGTTTCATTAGCGATGGGGAAGGAGATAGCTCAGTTCCTCTTGGTCACAGTTGAGCTCAGAAGCTCATTATCCTGCTGCACGCATGCTTTCCCTCCTCGTCAATAAACAGGCTTTCCAGTGGCTGCATCCCCCACCCCCACCCCAGCTCCCTCTCCGAGAGGGGCCCCTTCTCCTCTACTTAACCCGCGGTTAGGGATCACTGTAAACAGTCTGGGGTCATCACACAGGAGAAAGGGCGAGGGGGAAACCCGGAGATGTGGCCTTTCTCCCGTGGAGGGAGTGAAGCGGCTTCCGACGGGCTGGGAGCCCACGGGGCCCTCCGCTCACCGCTCACGGCTGGGCAGGCAGTCCACCTGCTGCCCGCCACCTCCTTCCCCTGCTGCGTGCCCCACAAGTCCGGTCTCTCGGAGGGAAAGGTGGGAGGGGGGTTCCCAGCAGAACCCAAGCCCTTTGCTTTGGCACAGTGCTAAGATACCATTTTTAGGACTTTCTGGGACAAAGCGTCCCCAGGGCCTTTCTTTGCCACCCTCCCCCGCTTCCACCCCGGGGGGCTATGGCTCCCAGAACCAGAGTCTGCGCTAAAAAGACCCTGTCCTCCCACGCAGCGGGGTAGGCGTGCCTGGACCCAGAATAAACCCTTCTCGGGTGCCAGAGACGCCCCCGCGAGGTGTCCTAGGGGAGCACCGCCCCGCAGGTCTCTCCACTCCCGTGTGCGAGGGTCGTGGGTGCAGCTGCATCCACCCCCCCCCCTCACCGTGTACACACGCACCCAGGGCTCTCCCCACGCGGTCTCGATGGATTGCTCCGCCTTCGCCTGGCCCACAGCCTGCAACATCGGGTCCGCCTCGGTGTTGCGCGTGTCTGATCCCACTCCCCCACCCTCCCGCAGGGAGCGAGTTCTCCGGCAACCCGTACAGCCACCCCCAGTACACGGCCTACAACGAGGCTTGGAGATTCAGCAACCCCGCCTTACTAAGTGAGTACGCCACCTGGCAGCAGCCGAGCCGACCGCCGCTGGGCGCGGGGACACGTTCTGTGACACACAATCAGCGCGCACTGCAGCGCGGCCCAGCCCCGGAGCAGCCCGCCTCGCCAGGAGGCCTCGCCGCAGGGCCTGGGCAAAGGAAATGAAGAACAAACTGGTTTTCTGCGGGAGGAAGAGCCTCCTGCCTAACCCTCGGGAAAAGCCCTCGCACCCGCGCCAGCCAGACTGCCCCCGCCTTCCGAGTGCGCCCCGCCCCGAAAGGTGGACTGGCGTGGGGGCTGAGCTCTAGCGGGGAAGGTGGGGGTCGTCTGGTCTTTCCGAGGTTGGGACCCCAGGCACGCAGGCCCCAGCAGCCCGCACCCACCGAGCCGACTCCACCAGAGCCCCAGGGCCCAGGCACCCCCTACTAGTGAGGAGACTCGCAGCCCCACCTTGCCCCTACCTCAGCGTCTCTGCCTTCTGTGACACCCCCCCCCAAGACTTCCCTCCTGCCCGTCCTTTTCCCGACCCACGGGGCTCTGCATCCCTGCTCCCTCTCTCACCACCCATCGGAGGCTCTCCAGTGCGTCCCTCCCCCGACACAGACTCTGGATCTGCCGACGGCGGGGCAGGGTCTGAGCTGCGGCGGGGAGGGGCGCCCACCCCACCCCCAGCTCCTCCTCCGGAGGAACTGAACAGAACCGCAGAAAAGTCTACATTTATTTAATATGATGATCTTTGCAAAAAGGAAAAAACAAAAGCCCAACAGGCTGCTGGTCTGTAGAAAGACGATGTGTGTCGTGCGAAGGCGAACCCCAGTGTATATAACCCCGCCCCGCGCCCCGCGCGCCCCGACGGCAGAGTACCCCGCCGCCCGCCCGACCGGGCTGCAGCTACATGCGCCCCGACGCATATGATGTCAGGGTCGACGCGCGCTTTTTTTATGTTACAAAAGCAAACAATTAACACACCCACTGAAGCTCTATGCGACACGACGAACATGGGCCTGTGAGATCCTCCCGCCTCTGTTATGTTGGCTGTTTCTAAGTCTTTCCACAAACTGATACACTCATCCGTGTGCAGCCCTCCTCCCCACATCTCTGCATCTCTGTTATGCGAAAAAGGTCTCTTTTCGTCCTTGTGTCTTTCTCTTGCGCTTCTCTCGTCCTCTCATCAGCAAAATGTCGGCAGACAGATTCTATCCGTGTTCTTCGTAGAGCTCTGACACACCCGGGGTCGACGCCTCGCAGCTCCAGAGAGCA